TCTCTCCCCTTGCCACTCCTGTTCTCCTTCCAAGTGCAGAGCAGACGTCTCCTAGGAGGTGCAGCCTGCGGGGGCCCTCCATCTGTCATCCCTGTTGGGTCCCTGTTGGGTCTTAGGCCCAGGGTGGGGCCTTCCCACCTTCCTTTCAGCTGTGCCTTAAGGGGCCCCACCCATTCCAGGCCTCCTGAGGCTGCTGGTTTCCAGGATGCTATAGCCCTGTGTTATCTCCAGACTGGCCCCCAGCTCTTCCTGCCAAATGGAGGAGCCCCAGGGGTGGTCTGTCCGCCACACCCTGGTGCAGGGTTCGTTGGCAAGGGACCTCTAGGTTAGCTGGAAACTGCTCCTAGGCTGGGCCAGCCAGTTGCCTTTTGCACTTCCCATCCCTGGTGGATCTTCCCTGCCCTGCCTGCTTTTCCTGGAAGCTTCCAGAATTGATAGTGACCACGTGGACGCTGCCCTTGTCTGGATGTCCCTGTTCAGGCATCTCCACGGAGCTCTTGCTGGAGGGGCCCTGAAGACTACCCTGGGTGCTGCTTGGCCCACCACTCAGACGCTCACCCTGGCAGAGGCCTCTTGGGTGTCCTCACCCAACGTGGCTGCCACGGAACCCGTGGGACCTGCGGGAGTAGCAGCAGTGAGATAGGGGGTGGTCTGACATGGTCTTAAGGGTTCCAACCATTGCTAGTTACAGGCTGGACCCTGTGTTGGTGGTAACATCCAGATAACACGGCTGAGATGGCTTGGACATCCCCATTGCCCTTGTGGTGGCTCATCCTAGACTCTTGTTGTTGAGGCTGGCCATCCTGACTGCCTGTCTGCCCGTCCCTCCAGCAGCATTGTTCAGCACCTAGAACAGAGCGGCCAGCAGCAAGTGACCCTGCATTGTTTTATACTGGTCTTTCCAAGCAACAAGGTTTCGTTTCCTAATTGAGTTTAAGAAATAAACCTGCAGAGCGTCCAGTGCCTGATGGGAGCCCAGTTATTGTCTCCATGTGGCACAGAACCCTTCCTGAGTCTCAGAAGAATCACTGGTTAACATACTCGCCAGAAACAAGGCAAATTCTGCCTTTTCTTGTTGCCCCCTGTTGCCTATTCCCTCACCTGCAAGGCCTCTGGGGACATGGGAACTCAGGTTAGCTTCTTGCCACCTCCCTGCAGCCTGTGGGGCTTCACAAAGCCTTGCACCAGCCTCAGTGCTCCCTGTAGAGTGATGGGTAATCTGCCTGTGGGTTCCGACAGCTGCACAGGATGGCCCAGAATAGAGGGTGTGCCCTGGTACATCTGGCTGCCCCAGGAAGGGTGCCCTTCTGTGTATGGGGCTAGCAGGTGTGGCCATAGTTCTGGGTGAGGGCCACTGGGTCTTTGAGGGTTGGCTCTCTGGGCTGGGATTTGAACCTAGGACATCCAACTCTCGAGTCTAAACTCTCAACTTCCACCTTCTGCCATTCTCCTCCAGTATTACAATGCCTGTCTCATCTTATCTCCACTTCAGGGGACAGAGGAAGACACATTTGTGAAGAAGGAGCACTGCCTGGGAGGGGGGCTGAGGGGGCGCCCCTGGGGGCAGATGTGGGGATGGACCCTCACCTTGGCTGGGTGAGGGCTAGATGAACCATCCATGTGTGGGGCAGGTCCTTGGACACACCTATAGTCTGCAAGGAGAGGGAGGCAGAGTATAAAGCCCTTGAGATGCCCAGTGAGGGTGGGAGAAAGTCTGCTGCTGGTGGGGATGGCGCACCCCTGGTGAACTGACAAGTGCGTGCATTCTGGATAACATCCCTTCAGATGTCACAATCACTTGCTTAAGTGTCATTGTGGTCCCTGTAGTACACTGAGGAAACAGGCATAGGGAGGGGAATGAAGTCATTTCCTGTTGAGAAAGTGGTCTGGCACCTTGAAGAGTTCCCAAAGCCTGTGGCTCTAGCCCCAAAAGCCTAAAAAGTTCCCTCCAAGATGGGGAGAAAGTAATCTTGATGACTCTTAGGATCAAGCTGTATTTTTTTAATAGACTTTATTAGAGCCGTTTTTGGTTTACAGAAGAATGAACAGAAAGCACAGAGTTCTCATCTATCCTCTCACCATTAACATCTTGCATTAGCCCTACATTCGTTACAATTGATAAGCCAATATTGATAGATCATTATTAACTTAAGTCAGCAGTTTAGGGTTCACTGTGTTGTAAGTCATATGGTTTCAACAAATGCATGACATGCATCCACTGTTACAGTAGAAATAGTTTCTCCCCAAATTTTCTGTGCTCATCTCTTAATCCCTCCCACTCCAGGTAACCCCCTACCTTCTTCCAGTCTCCATAGGTTTGCCTTTCTAGAATGTCACGCACTTGGAATTACAGAATGTGTAGCCTTGTCAGACTCACTTCTTTCACTTAGCAAAATGCATTTAACGTTCCTCCTTGGCTTAAGAGCTATTTATGCTAAATAACAAGCACCAATCTGGAAGCTCCTCTAGGAGCCAGCCAGGCTGGAGGCCTCTACGTTTTTAGAAGGAATTCTACAAGTATGTTTTCAGCCCTTACTGTGTGCCAGACATAGCTCAGGGGGCTTTCCAGGCATCAGTGAACAAAACAAACCCTGCCCTCATGTTTTAATGAAAGAACTAGCAACAAGATAAATGTTAGAAAGTTCAGGAACTTCCAAGTCCACCAAAATGCGCCCTCCGTCAGGAAATCTCTCATCTCCTTCCACCTCACCCCACGTCCCCCACTTGAGGTACCCTAGCTCTGGGCTCCCCTCTCTGGCTTCGCCCTGGCACCACGAGGTTGAGAGTAACTGCGCCCGCTCCGTCAGCCCCAGCCCAAGAAAAAACTCAGATCCAGGATGCAGAGTGATTGAGTCGGATCCCACCGCCCCGCCCTGCCCCGGCTTCACTCTTGGGATTGCGCATGTGCCATAGGCGGCCGCCCGGGAGTACTGAGCACTGAGCGGCCAGGCTGACCTGCACGCAGGCGCATTGGAGGCCGCCGGGAGCGCTTCCGCCTCCCCGCCGTCGCCATGGCCGCGCCGGCTCCGGGCTTCATCTCGGTCTTCTCGAGCCCGCAGGAGCTAGGCGCATCGCTGGCGCAACTGGTGGCGCAGCGGGCCGCGTGCTGCCTGGCGGGGGCCCGCGCCCGCTTCGCGCTTGGCCTGTCGGGAGGCAGCCTTGTCTCGATGCTGGCCCGCGAGCTGCCCGCCGCCGCCGCTCCCGCCGGGCCTGCCAGTCTCACGCGCTGGACGCTGGGCTTCTGCGATGAGCGCCTGGTTCCCTTCGAGCACGCCGACAGCACGTACGGCCTCTACCGGGTGAGAGCTACGGGGGCCGCCGGGGCTCACGCGGAGAAGACTGCGTCCGGCGCCTGAGCGCGGCTACGGGGGCCGCCAAGGGTCACACCGTGCCCTCTGTCTATCTGGACGGGAGCTGGGAATGATCCGCGAGTGCTCTGAGCTCCCACCTGGATCGCACCTGCACTGCTATCTGGGTGGGCTGGTGGGGGCTTCGAAGCCCCTCTTTACGTTTCATCAGGCAGCCAGGCAAAGGGAAAGACCTGGGCAAAGGCACGGAGTGGGGAAGAGTGGAACATGCCAGAGACCTAGGGAATTCAGGCGCCGCAGCCTCGGAGCGTGCCAGCGCAGAGTTAGGGAAGGTTCAGGCCAGAGGGGTCTGGCATAGAGCCTGGACCTGTTTCCCCATCTACAAGCTGGATAAGTTTCTTGATGGCCTCCACGCAGCTTGTGCCCCGATGACCTCCAAGGCTGGTTGTCTTTGGTCCCGGGCCCCAGCGCCTATAGAATCAGAGAACACTCTCCGTTTTACAAGCAGGGAAATTGAGGCCAGGAGGAGCCGTGGTCTGCCCTGGGGCCGCTGCATCTGTGTCCACTCCTTCTGCCCTAGAGGAGGAAAACTCGCTCAGGGAAGTGTGGGAGGAGCGGGTTTAGCCAGGAACCTCAGGTCACTCAGGTTCTGGGTGTGTTGCATAGAAGCTAGAGCTGGTGATTTATTTATTTATTTTTAATAAGCAGGAAGGTTTAACGAATACCAAGTGCTTGATCCACATCATCACATGAAACCCACAATAGCCTATGAGGCAGAGGCTGTTAGTACTTCCATTTCATAGATGGAGAAACTGAGGTCAGAAGAGCAGCACGTAGCTGCCTGAGTTACCTTTTGACCAGTGGGGAAGCCTGGATTTGAACATGCCCCTCCTGACACAAGTGTATAGCTTATGTATAGGCTGGGACAGGCGGGTCAGCAGGACCTGATGGAGAGAAGAGAGGGGCTGGGTTTTATCTCCAGGGCCAAGGAACTATGGAGGCTTTGAAACAGGGCTGTGCTATGGCCAGACAGGTACAGGCCAGGGCCAGGCAGCCCCCAGTCGAGATGGACCTGAAAGACCCCCGGCAGATTGATAGTGGGATTCACGAGGATCCCAACTCACATGGGAAGTGGGTATAATGAAAGTCATGTCCTGACCTAGAGGATCCAGGTGGTCACATGCAAACCCCACACCACTGTGACCCATGTATTACTGTCGATGACACTGTCCCTCCATATGCCACAGACTCAACTGCTCTCCAAGCTGCCCATCCCTGACAGCCAGGTGATCACCATTAATCCCCAGCTGCCTGTGGAGGAGGCAGCCGAGGACTATGCCAAGAAACTGAGACAGGTGAGTTCTTTGGAGCAGCCACAGGAGACCTCATCAATGAGATGGCCACTCTCAGGATGACAGAGCAGCCTTGTGGGTGGCACTGCATGATCGTCACTGGCAGAAACTCCCCTGGGGTCAGTCAGCAGACCCAGCTCCACCCTGGACAGACCCCCTCTGAGAGGCCACAGCCCCACCCTGAGGTCCCTGAGGGTGGCCTTACCTCTCACACTCTGGTAATGGGCCTGGGTCCTCACATCGTGGAGACAGTTGTGTCCCTAGACCCTCAGCCAGTCGGGCAGGTGAAATGTGGAACCTTGTGGATTAGTCCCTTCTATGCATGTGAGGCTAAGCATTGCTATTTGTGTTACAGCTGCTTATGATTCTTTTGACAACTGGCTCTGTGTCCTTTGAGCCCCTCCCTCACAACCTCTCTCAACTATCTTCTTCCCTCGCCTAGGCCTTCCAAGGGGACTCCATTCCAGTTTTCGACCTGCTGATCCTGGGGGTGGGCCCTGATGGGCACACCTGCTCACTCTTCCCAGACCATCCCCTCCTGCAGGTGCGTGCACCCCACAGGCCCAGCTTGCACCTGAGCCCCAGGCTCTGCCATCTGGAACTCCCGGAGGGAGACCAGGAGGTGCCTACAACAGAGTTTGAGTCAGCTTCTGCCAACAGGCATGCCCACTGGTCTTAACTCTTGTGAACCTTAGTTTACCCATCTTAAAACGGGAGTCTTAAGTATCAGGGGATTAGTAGGGTGGGATGGATGTTAGATGGACCGTGCCTGACATGTGTGAGTACTCAAGAAGTCAAAGTGATGTTGTCATTCTGCCTCCACCCTGTGCCTCCCTACCCCAGGAGCGGGAGAAGATTGTGGCCCCCATTAGTGACTCCCCGAAGCCACCGCCACAGCGTGTGACCTTCACACTTCCTGTGCTGAATGCGGCCCGAACTGTCATCTTTGTGGCGACTGGAGAAGGCAAGGCAGCTGTTCTGAAGGTAACACCAAGGGTCCCATTCCCAGGAAGGTCACAGGGATGTGGGCCCAGGGATAGAATTTGACTCAGGTGCTATTGGATCCCAAGATACTTCAGTAATTTTGGGGTTGAAAGGGAGATGGAAACTTTAATTACAGGCTGGTTAGGAATGAACCATTATGAAAGGAAATTGATAAGATGAGGCCAAAGCTGTACTCAGAGGTAAATTTATAGCATTAAAAATGCATTTAAAAATTATTAAATAGAAAACTATTAAAATAACTGTAGCACTTTAGAATTAGGAAAAATGAACAATAACATAAATCTAAGAAAAGTCAGCAGGTGGAAAAAATTAAATCAAAATCAGAAATTAGTGAATTAGTTAATATTTTTAAAAGCTTAATGGTAAACAGATCCAAAAGATAGACAAACAACTGTCAAAGCTAATTAAGAAGGAAAAATATCATATGTAGGAATAAGACAGGAATAAGAAAAAAGGTATAGTTATACATAATGTTTTAGGAAAATATAAGATATTAAAAATAAACTAAATGGGAAAATATTTTAATTGCCATCATCGAAAAGATCAACAACTGTAGGAGAAACTGGAAATATTTTTAAAGATAAATAACAGTTATCCCCCAAATCATTGGGTGCAGATGTCCTCACAGGAGTGGCTTAGTTTTGGGGTTTGGGATGTAGGCTCTTAAGAGTCCAGCAGACCCATGTCCCTGCCGGTGATGCCCAGCATGGCCTCACATGGCCACCCCCCAGCCTCAACTTTCCCATCTACGTGGTGGGTCTGGAGGGGTCCGCTCCCTGTGGACTCCTTGAGAGAGGCCACCCAGAGCCTCAGTTTCCCTGACTGTAAAATGAGGTGAGAACAGAGGTGACCTCACAGGGCCATGGTCAGAAGTCAGTGACTTCTGACACAGAGTGGGGCAGGCTTACGTGGCAGAAAGCAGTGTTTATAATACCCACTCATCACGAAGTCACATCAGGGAGTCGACACACCATAGCCTGTGCAGTCAAATCCCCAGCTAAGAAGGGTTTTTACCTTTTTAAATGGTTGGGGAAAAGAATCAAAAGAAGAATATTCCTGGATATGTGAAAATTAGATGGAATTTAGATTTCATTGTCCACCAATAAACATTTGTTGGAACACACGCGCCTATATGTCGATATGAGCTGAAATAGTGACTCTCCGGTCTTTGCAGAAAAGGTGTGCTGACCCCCATGTTATACAGTCACAGATGATAGAGGGGGAGGGACCTGTCCCTGTTGACTGAAGCCAGGGCAGCTGGAAGGGTGACATCACATCTCGAAAGTGGGAAAGTTTAGTCCATGGTGGGCCTGGGAGCTCTGAGGGCTGCTGGGATGCTGTGGGCCTCACACACCTGTCCTCTCCATGCAGCGCATTTTGGAGGACAAGGAGGAAAACCCGCTCCCTGCTGCCCTAGTCCAGCCCCACACTGGGAAACTCTGCTGGTTCCTGGATGAGGCAGCAGCCCGGCTCCTGACTGTGCCCTTCGAGAAGCATTCCACTTTGTAGCTGGTCCTGAGGAATGCCACAGCTGGGACCATATACAGCCTGAGGGAGCTGGGACCTTCCAGGCTGGGCCCCTCCATCGCCACGCTCCGGGCTTCATTTTAGAAAAGCCACGTGGTGCTGACAGGGTCCAGTTACCAGCCCTGCCCTGGGGCTCAGGCCACTGGCCCTGGCTCTGGGCGACCCGATATTAAAAGGACCATTTGCTTCAAGTCTTCACTGTCTTGTGGTCCTTGGTGGGCAGGGGGATCAGGGGTGCCTAGGCCGACCCGAAACCCTGTCCTAGCAGGTGGAGGACAGGGATGGGGACTCTCAATGAAGAAACTCATCTAGAAGTATGACAGAATTTATCATCTCACAGCCCTGTAGGCCAGAAGTCTGAAGTCAAGGTGGTTGCGGCGTTGGTTCCTTTAGGAGGTTCTGAGGGAGAGTCTGTCCCAGGCCTCTCTCCTGGCTTCTGGGGGCTACCAGCAACCCATGGCTTGTCAGCGTGACTCCAGTCTCTGCCTCTGTCATCACGTGGCCTTCTCATGTGTCTCTCTGTGTCCTCTTCTGCTAAGGACACCTGTCATTGAAAATAGATAGGACCACCCTAAATCTAAAATAAACTCAGCTCAACATCCTTAGCTAATGATATCTGCAAAGACTCCTTATTCCAAATAAGGCCACATTCTGAGGTTCCAGGGGTTAGGAGGTGGACAAATCCTGTGTGTGTGTATGTGTGTGTCCCAGTTCAGTGGCATTAAGTACATTCACATTGTTGTACAAACGTCACCACCATCCATCTCTAGTGCTGTTGATCTTTTCAAACTGAGACTCTGTCCCCATTAAACACTAACTTCCCATTTCCTCCTCTACCAGCTTCTGGCACCCACCATTCTACTTTCTGTCTCTATAGATTTGACTGTTATGGGGACCTCATATAAGTGGGCTCATACAGTATTTGTCCTTTTGTGTCTGACTTCTTTCACTCAACATAATATCCTCAAGGTTAATCCATGTTGTCACATGTTATAATTTCCTTCCTTCTTAAAGCTGAATAATACTCCGCTATGTGGATGGACCACATTTTGCTTCTCCATTCATCTTTTTGATGGACACATGGGTTGCTTCCATGGTTTAGCTCTTGTGAATGATGCTGCTATGAACATTAATATACAAATAGCTCTTTGAGACTCTGCTTTCAGTTCTTTTGGGGATATACCCAGAGGTAGAATTGCAGGGTTATATGGTAATTCTATTTTTAATTTTTTGAGGAACCTCCATACTGTTTTCCACAGTGGCTGCACCATTTTATTTTCCTACCAACAGTGCATGAGGGTTCCAATTTCTCCATATCATTACCAGCATTTTTATTTATTTTTTTTCTAATAGTGGCCTGTGGACATACCTTTTTTGGGGGACACACTTCAACCCACTATACATTTGTTCTGGCCGAGTTCCCACTGACACTTAAGGCCCATCACAACCGCTGCACCCTGCCCTGCTGCAGGCCTACGCAAAGCCTGGAATGTGCCAGGGTACCTCTGCAGTCTCAGCTCTGCCTGGGCCCACTGTCAGCTTCTTGGGCTCCAGGGACTTCAGTGGGGGAGGCTGGTGACCATAGTGTGGGAGCTTTGCTGAGCATGGGGGTCGAGGTGGGAGTTGTGGTGGGGTGGGGATGGGGGCTTTGCAGGGGCTCCGAAGGGGGCATGGGAATTGAACCTTGAAGCTGAAACCACAGGAAGTGAAATTTCCTTCAACGTCTTGTCAAGATGAGTCACTCAGATGTGAGAGTGAGGAAGTGAGCCGAGGCCTTAGGGGAAACAGGTTGAGAAAAGCAGAGGAAGGAGTTGGAAGGAAGGCAGCCGAGCTGTGGGCTTGGGCAGGTGCAGGTGGCTGTGACCCCTAGAGCAGAGGACAGGGCAGGGGCGCCCAGAAGCAGAGGGAAAATCACGAGGCAGGCATGGGGACCCCACTGGGGGGCCCTGCCTGGGGCATGTCACCTCCTGCCCCCCTCTCACTGTAGCTGTAGCTGTCCCTATGCCAGATCTGCCTGTGGCTCCCTTTCACTTCTAGTGAAACTCACCCTTTTTACTGGCTCATAAGCCTCTGTGTGGCCCCTGCAACCCCCACACTCCTCTCCTAACATCTGCCTCTCACTCACCCTCTAGCCCTGCGGTCCCCAACTTTTTGGCACCAGGGACCAGTGCGCCTATGAGAATCTAATGCCTGATGATCTGAGGCAGAGCTGAGGGAGTGATGCTAGCGCTGGGGAGCGGCTGCAAATACAGATGAAGCTTCACTCATCGTCCGCCATTTACCTTCTGCCGTGCGGCCTGGTTCCTAGCAGGCCACGGACTGGTACTGGTCTGTGGCCCAGGGGTTGGGGACCCCTGCTCTAGCCCACACACCTTGTGCTGGTCTCACCTTAGGGCCTTGGTATGTGCTGTGCCAGCTGTTGGTTCTCTGTCCTCCTGCTTTTTGCGTGTCGTGGGCCCTTGCTTCCTTCAGGTCTTGGTGCAGTGTCTCCTCCCTGACTCCTCCCAATCCTAGCATTTTCTACCCCTCCTGTTCCCTATTTTTCCCTTACCCTTATCATTGTCTGACAGTTTTGTTCGTGTACCTACCAATGGTCCATGGGGGCAGCTTCGGGGTTCTGAGTGGGACTGGAGAGGGTCATTGAGTGATGAGGCTGGGGCCTCCATGGGGCTAGTTATTTCCTTGGAGGGCACTGGGGAATTTCAGGAGGTGTTAGAGGTCAGGGCTGAGAATTTGGGGTGTGCTGGTGGTGGGGAGCTAGGGCCTAGGAGAAGGGGCATCTTCGAGAGTCACTTAAAGAGTGACATGGAGATTAGGTGATTGCTTGAAGAGGGTGTTAGGGGTGAGGAAGGAACGAGAGCCCCCCTCAAGTCTCTATGCTCCCCACTGGGCCCCCATTCCATCTCCTCATCTGGGACCCCAGCACTCGCTCCCCCAGCCCCAGCATTGACCCCATGAATTAGGGGTATCTGTCCAACTCTGTCACCCCAGCTTGGGGGCTTCTGGGGGCTGAATCCCCCCAGCATTGGCCAGCATGGGGGTGCACAGTGGGTGTAGATGCCCATCCTCCTTCCCTGCCCCCACACACCAATAACTGGTCACCTGGTCCTGCCAGATGTCTGCCCTGCAGCCCTCCTCCAAAGCCGGCTAATATGTTGTCTCTTGCCCCGGGGCTGCCCCAGCAGCCCCTACAGAAACTAGTAGTTCTGGGGACCTTGGCCCCAGGGGAGTTTAGAGGACGCAGGTGTAGGGTGGGGCAGGGCAGTGGGCTGGCATCTTCCCCACACACTGGTGCTAAGCTCTACCTCCTGACCCGAGGTGCTGGTCTCTGCAGCATCCAGGAATCTGTGGGGAGGGTAGGGGTATCTGCTTCACTCTAGAGGAGCCGGGACACAGCAGCAGAATGGGCGGGAGGTCCTCGAGCCCCCTGGACAAGAGGCAGCAGCAGCACCTGAGGGGTGAGCAGGTGTGGGGAGGGGTGGGCGTGGGGAGGGGGGCTTCAGGGTTGTCAGATAAACAGGATGCCTTATTAATGTGAATTCCAGATAAGCAATGAATAGATTCTTTAGTATAAATATGTCCCAAATTTTGCATGAGGGCATACTTATGCTAAAATATTATTCCTTATTTACCTGAAATTCAAATTTAACTGGTGTCATGTACTTTTATTTGGTAAATCTGGTAACCCACTCAGGGCATGGGTTGGGGTGGGGGTATGGAGCCAGGTGGGAGGTGCCCCGAGTCCAGCAAGATCTTGTGGGATGATCCTTCAAGGTGGGCAAGGACCAATAGACCCCTCTATGTGGTTTTCTGGGACAGACTGATAGTTCCTGATTTGAGACAAAGAATGGCCAGTGCCTTCCTTACTCCATACATAGGGTTGAGTACTTACTGTGTGTTGGACACTGGGGATATGATAGGTTCATGATCTACACAAAGAAGGAAGGTCAAGTTATTAGATGAATGGATTCAATAAGCTACTCTATGAATGTCAGGATTTTTTTCCGGTAGTGACTTATTAAACAAGGCAAGGATTTATTTATCTCTCCCATAGAGGGGTACAGTGGCAGGCAGACTGATAAAAGTTAGATAATCCAATTCCTTCTATCTCATGGCTCTACCATGCATGTCTTCTGTGCCTGAGGTCACCTCATGGCTCGTAAAGGCTGCTGAAGCTCCAGCCGTTGGGTCCACATTCTCAGCAGTGAGATAGACTGTATATTTCACATACAGTTAAGTGCATGCATCTTAGGGGAACAACCTGAAGAACTTTAACACTTGTGTGATCACCTCTTAGGTCAGGATACAGAACACTTCTATCAGCCCAGAAAGTTGTCTTGTGCTAGAGTGAGGCTTTCAAAAGATTATGATAATCTCCCTAAGTAAGGGGCATGAGGAAACTTTTGGATGCAATGGAATTGTTCATTATCTTGATCACGGTGGTGGTTTCTCAGATGTGGACCTGTGTGAAAGCTCGTTAAATTCTACACTTTATACAATTAAAGTTTGTTGTGCATCAGTTATAAATTAAGCTAGAGTCCCTTAACTTCTCCCCCGCCCCCACCCTGCTTTCACGTGGATGGAAATAGACAGCGGAGGATTAAGAGTAAATGGAGTTCGGAGCACATCTTGTGGGGCAGCTTTTGGGTTTGGGGTGAGGGTAGAAGCCTAGGAGTTGCTTCCCTCCTGTTTTGTCTTCCCCTGGCAGATGGCCTGATTCAGCCACCTCACTGTCCCCTTGTACCTGCAGGCCAGGTAGATGCCCTACTGAGGAACTTCCTGCCCAAATACCGTGTGCAGCTGGCAGCTTCGGTCCTGCGGCAGATTTCCAAGGAGCTGGGCCCCCAGGAGCCGGCTGGATGCCAATTGCTGCACAGCAAAGTGGGTACCACAAATGGAGGGGGCAGCTGAGTGAACAAAGCTTCAGAGGCCATTGTCCTTGCTGGTGTCATGAACTGGGGTGACTATTACATCACTGGGCATTTACTACATGGCATGTCCTAGGCTAGATGCTGGGGACAGCAGAGACTGAGATAGATCCCACTCTGCCATCCAGGGCTCATGTCTGATTGGGAAAAATGACCCCAAACAAGTTAACATATCATGACACGGGATAACTTCTGATACGTACTAGGAAGACAACGGGAAGAGTGCCATTGGGGGTGGGCTGTTGGGGTGCAGGGGACCCCTCTGAGCTGAGATGTGAAGGATGAGGAGTCAGATTTGGAGCCCAGAATGTGCAGAGAGCACAGCCAGTGCAAAAGCCTTGAGGTTGGAAGTCTTGCCCTGTCTGAGTGCCACGCTCAAGGGCACAGCACAGCCACTGGACACCACCAAGTTTTTGCATGTGTGGTGTCCTCTGCCTGGTGTGCTCTCCCTGTTCCTTCTTGTACTTTGGCTGCCTTTCTTTCAAGAAAACTTCCTTAATTACCATTATCCCTACCTGAGTCAGGAGCCTCCTCTGGGACCCCCATCCTATTGCTTCTCCAACAAAGCCCTGGGTCACACATTTGTCACCTCCATGGATCTGTCTGCTCTTTGAGGGTAGGGGCCAAACATTGACCCACACCTGGACTCTTCATGCCCATATGGTACCTGCACATAGTAGGAAGAGTTTGTGGATGGAACAGAGGAGCCTAGAGCTACCCAGCCCCAGCTCCACATGTCTGCTGAGCTGGCAATGGCACCCGGGGCCTCCATGCATCCAGCACAACTTACGCAGTTCTCACCAGCCTGGGAGATGGGTCTTTGACTAGCAAGGAAACTGAGGCACAGAAAGACAAAGCTACCTGCCTGGGGTCACACTGCCAGCAAGATGCAGAGGCGTGATTTGATCCCCGAGCCCATAATCCTTACTAACACTTGGTCCCCTGCCCCATCTGGGCTCTGAGATTCTCCACCTCTCTCAGATGCCTCTTCTCCCAGCTGCACCTGCCCTGCAGTAGAAGCTCCCTGGTGCTGTGGACACAGAACCCCATCCTACCCAGGACTCTCCCTGTCCTACTTGTGGCATCCTGGGGCCCTGGAGTCACCCCCACCTGCACCTTTCACCACCTGCTGGTTCCAGCCACCTGGGCCAGGGCACAGCTGACGTTGGGTTTCAGGCAGCATGGAGGGACTTCCCCTCACTTCAGTTTAAACATTTTATATAATACTTATTTTATATATTTATATTTTATATATAATTTCTATAATAACATTTTAAGAATACTTTTATGAAAATTCTCAGACTTAGGAAAAGGTATGGAAAATTGTTAACAAATACCTGAGTTCCCACCATCCCACCAAAGAATCAAAATATCTCAAATACAGTTAATTGATTCATTGACTATTTATCACATGCCAACAGTGCATCAAGCACTGCCTTAGGACCCAATGATGACACAAAACACAATTCAGGTGGCCAAGCAATGAGAAGAGTGGCAAAAAAAAATAAAACAAATATTCTCCCTGCCTGAGGGCTTGGTTGGTGGACAGAGGACTGGCTGTTCCTCACACAATTAATCTATACCCACTCCATGACCCAGCAACCCAATTTGTATTGGTTAGCTAATGCTGTGTGATGATCTATTACAAATTAGTAGCTTAAACCAACACACATGTATTATCTCACAGTTGCTGTGGGTCAGAAATCTAGCTGCAGCTTCTCTGAGTCCTTTTTTTCAGGATCTCTCATGGGCTGAGACGTTGGCCAGGGCAGGGGTCTCATCTGAGGCTCAAGTGGGGGAAGTGTACGCTTCTGTATGAAGTGGGGATGACAAGAGATTCTGCCTTCCAGGGCTGTGGGGAAAATTACATCAGTTTGTATTTGGAATGGCCACAAACAAGAGCATGTTTTAAGTGTGCTTGATAAAGGAGTGCCACATAGCAGTGCCTAAGCACCCTGTACTTAGTGGCACCTGGAATGCAATGGGAGCTGTCCAGGCGGTCTGGACACTGGGACACTAGCCCATGCCCTTGACATCCAAGGGCCCCTTTTCCCACAGAAGCTGCCACGAGTCCGAGAGCACCGAGGGCCCCTGACCCAGCTTTGGGGCCAGCCACCCCAGTGGCAGCCAATCTTCTGTGTCCTGCGTGGGGACGGCCGCCTTGAGTGGTTCAGCCACAGAGAGGTGCGTAGCCTGTGTCCCTTGGGCTTCCAGATTCTCCATCCCGCCCTTCCCAGTGTGGGTTTAGGGTCCCTCCTAGCATAGCCCCGCTCCTTTCTTCAGTCATCTAGCCTGAATCAAGGGTCCCTGTGTGCTCAATCTGGGGATGGGGGGAAGGCCAGCTCATGCTGTGCCAGGTGAGTAAACTGAGGCCCAGGGCATAGGGAAGGGATCACTCATGGTTGTCAGCAGAGCCAAGGTTGAAACTAAGCTAGGCCTTTTCATGTCACGCTCATGTCCTGCTTCCTGGCTGGGGGATTCGGGCAGGTCACTTGTTGCCCTGGGGTGCAGTTTCTACCTTTGTGAAATAGGATGATGATGGTCTACGAGACAAAGGGCTGTGCGGATTTGATGAGATAATCCTCACACAATGCTGGGGACCGGCCCAGAACATAGTGGAGAATGGGTACTCAACTACGGGGGAGGGAGAAGGAAGGGGTGGAGGAAGGGAGGGGAGGTGGAGGATTTCCCCAGCTAACCTGAAGCTTTCCCTTGACCCTACACAGGGACATGGAAGTGACAGTTTAGACCTGTCCCAAGCTAGTGTTTTTGGACACCTTTTGTAGGAATATGAAAATGGGGGCCGTCCCCTGGGATCCGCAGCCCTGACGGGGTACACTGTCCTGACTTCCCAGCGTGAATATCTTCACCTGTTGGATGCTCTCTGCCCAGATTCCCCAGGTAAGGGCTCCTGGGGACCCCAAAAGCAGGTTTCTCTACTTCAGTGCTATTGACACTGGGGTCTGATCATTCTTTGCAGTGGGGTGGCCCTGTGCACTGTAGGGTATTGAACAGCATCCTAGGTCTCTACTCACTAGATGCCAGTAGCAGCCCCTACCTCAAGAGTGACAACCAAATATGTCTCCAGACATTGCCAAGTATCCCCTGGGGGGAGGGGTCGGAATTGTTTCTGGGTGAGCACCTTAGCTCTAGAAAGAAAAACACCCACTCTCATCAGAGTGAAAGAGGTAGGTCACCAGACCAGAATCAAAGTAAAGGGTAAAAATAATAAAACCTAGTGTCAGCAAGCATGTGGGGAGATGGGCACTGGTGGGTGGGGAAATCACACAGACTTGTCGCCAGGTGTATTGTTCAGTCCAGCGTGTCCAGAAGGGTTCTCCCTTCCTCTCTTCTTCTATTCCTCTTTCTCTTGCTCCTTCCCTACTCTCTCCTCCTCCTTCTCTCTCTCCCTCCCTTCCTCCTCCCCTCCTCCTCTTCCCCTTTCTTTCTCTCCTCCCCCCTCTTCCACCTTCTCTCTCTTTTTGTAATTCCCTCCTTCCTCACCTCCATTACCCCTCCTTCACCTCCTCCTTCTCCTCCTCTTTTCTCTCTCACCTTTTCTCCCTCCTTCCCTCCCAAGATACTGTGCAGGAACAGGGTAAGAAACAGCATACCCGGGCTGGATGCATGTGATGAGAGCCTGTGTTATCTTATTGAGTTTGCCCAGCAGGCAGCCCTATCACTAACTACTCCATTTCACAGATGGTAGACATTGACGCTGAGGACTGTCACACAGTTAGTAAGGGGCAGAGCCAGAATTTCATCCTTCGCTTCACTGTGGAACTATCTTGCTACCAAATGATGCAAGTGCAGCAACAGGACAGTCTGCAGCAATGTTGTGGATGTTGCAAACATTGGAATCCACCCACATACCCATCATCCTTTGGGGCTGATTAAATAAATTATGACCCAGCCCTTAGAAAGGAAAGCTGTGCAGCCACTGAAGCTGTCCCACACGTATGCAAGAGGAAAGAGGCCACTTATAGACCAGAAAGCTCCATCTTGTTACAAAAATGCACCCCATGCACCTTTGTGTAGATTTTAAAACCTGGAGTAATGTCCCCCAAACTGTTAACAGCAATTATTATCCCTGGTGGCTGTGGTTGAAGGGCTGGGGTGACCAGGAAATGCCTTCTGGATTATTCCATTTTACCTCACTCTGTATGTATCACTCTGGAAATCAAAACAAAATACTGAGGATTCAGGAGACCCTAAATAAATTAACCAAAACTAAATTCACTAATTGTGTCCTCCCAACTGTTCTAGGTCATTGGTATCACTTTTAAGCCCATTTTAAAGGGAGGAAAACTGAGGATCAGAGAGATGAAAAACTGTATCCTACGCATAGAAAATGGTTTGGTGAGGTTCAAACCTGGGCCTGGTTGGTTCCAGCACCGCTCTGGAAGCAGGGCCCAGATCACATGACAACTAGGATAGGCTGTTGGTGGGTGCTCAGGCCACTGTTTTGAGAAGGATACAGAGGCTGGGAAACAGTGCTAAGTTGGATTGCTCATGTCTGCCCTGGGTGTGCTCCCCCACCCCCACCCTGCCCAGGACTGAGCTGGAATAAGGATACTGTAGCTGTAACCGTGTATTGAACAACTGCCTATACCAGGGGCTTCTCTAAGTATTTCATGGTTATTTTCTACTAGTGAATGTATGATTGTAAAGCAAATGAATGAATGAAGATGTGACCTCCTCTGTTTGCTTTCAGGAGACCATATACAAGAGGAGCCTGACCCTCTCCTGGAAACGCCAGTGAATTTCCCCCTGTTCCTGCAACACCCATTCCGCAGGCATCTCTGTTTCTCAGCAGCTACAGGGGAGGCGCAGCGTGCCTGGAGGCTAGCACTGCAGGGCGGTATTCGGCTTCGTGGCACAGGTGGGTCCTTGGGAAGGTCAGGCAGTAGTGGGGCTCTGCCCCTGCTGGCTGTAGAACCCTCTCCAAGGCTTAATTTCCTTATTTGTAAGATGGATTGTGGGAGAGACAGGGGATAGGGCTGTGATGGGGACACAGCCCTGTGCGATCTTAGCCTGGGGGATCAGAGAGGGCTTCTCAGAGGAGGGTATGTTGAAGCTGGGGTCTGAAAAACATGAGGGGCCAGCCAGGTGAAGGACAACAGGACCAACACATACAGCTGGGCAGGTTGTTGACTGAACAAACAATACCTAACTGGAGAGGCAGTGGGACTCCAGTTCAACCTGGTCTGTTACTGCTCGCAGGAGATGCCTGTTCCTACATTGTATAAAAGGCTCCTTATGGGCTGATGATGATCTTGGGGGAGCATCTCTCCTGTAGAGGGCATTTCTTGTCTGAGTCTGGAGGTGGGTGAGACCTGGGTGTTCGGGACCTGGCGAGGAGGGGGAGGGCTTCCTCTTGGGGTAATGGGGAGTCAGGCAGGTGTGAGAGGAGGGGTGGGCGGGCACTGAGGAGCTGCCCCCTAGTCCTGCAGCGAAGTCAGGCCCCAGCCGCCCGTGCCTTCCTGGACGCCATACGGCTCTACCGGCAGCACCAAGGTCACTTTGGCCATGACGACGTGACGCTGGGCTCGGACGCCGAGGTCAGTGCTGCGCAGGGCCGCACCGGGATCCCCAGGAACCCTCTCGGCCTCCAGCCACACCCACAGTCCCCTCTCCTGCAGGTTCTGACCACCGTGCTGGTGCGGGAGTTGCTGCCGGCGCTGCGAGCCAAGACCTTGCCCAGCTTGCGGGGCGCTGGCCGAGCCCGGGCCTGGGCTTGGATCGAAGTACGCATGGGGTCGCGGAGGTGGGGCAGGGACTCGCGGGGGGCCAAGGTGGGGGTGGGGGCTGGACCTGGGTGCCCAGCCTTGCCCCGCCAGTGACTGTCGCCTAAACTCTCTCCCGGTCTCTCTGCGCCTGTCTCTTTCGGTCCTCCCACCCTTCCCTATCTACTCTTCCTGCGCTCCTGGCCGGTGGCATTCCTTTGATTGGTCTGGGCAGCTCCTGGATGCCATTCACGTCGCCGTCCTGGCCCAGGCCTCCACGGGGCTCCGCGCCTTCCAGCCTGAAAAGGACGAGTTGCTCGCAGCCCTGGAGAGGACGATCCGCCCGGACGTGGACCAGATGCTGCAGCTGCGGGAGCGCGTGGCAGGGAGGCTGCGGGGTGAGGCCCGCTGAGCCTTGGTGGGGCGTGGCCTAGCTGGGGCGTGGCCTGACTGGCGGGGCAGGAACCCGAGAGGAAGAAGAGGAACAAAGTGGGTGTCAGGGGTGTGGCCTGACTAAGGCGGCGCCAGTCAGCGGGGCGCCAGAAGCCTGAGGAAGATGAGGAACAGGGTGGGTGTAAAGGGCAGGGTCTAGAATCTCCTACCAGAAGATCCAGCAGGGGCAGGATCGGAAAATAAAAGGAAAAGGGCGTGGCATAAAGGGCGTGGCGTCCAGGGCGTGGGCGTGGCCTCGGGCCTGAGACAATGGGTGGGTGGGGTTAAGAAGGGCGGGGCCGTGGAAAGGCATCCTGCCAGGCATGGAGCCGGTGAAATCCAGTCCCGAGAGCTGGGGAGGCATTGGCAGTGGCTTTTCTGATCCTGGTTGTCCAGTCAGATGGCGGAGGTGGCTCCCACTCCGCTCAGTTACAAAGAGAACCAGGGTGAAATATGGACTACTTGGTGTGCCTACTTGGTGTGCCTCCATTTCTCATCTGTAAAATGGGGTAGAGAGGGTGCTCAAAGGAGTCTGTATTGCCGTCCACTTTACCTTGCTGAACTCAGAGTCTCCCCACCACCCAATCTTCGGAGGAGACCCAGGCCAGTGTCTTCTACTCGTAGCCAAAGTCCAAGGCCCCCTGGAGTCATGCCTGCACAGAAAGGTGGATGCGCAGCTGCCCCAGGTCACATGGACGCTGCTGAACACTGTGGAAGCCGCGCTCGCGGCGGTGCAGACCCTCATAGTCCAGGGCATGGACCGCCTGTTTTGCCACCTGCGTGGGAGCCCCTCGGGAGCGCGGTTACGGAAAGAGGTGAGCTCTAGTGGGTGGGGGGTTCATCAGACCCATGGGCAGTGTGTTAACTTCATAAAAGAGTTGCATGAACCTTGCATCTTGCTTGACAAACTCTCTTTTGAAAAACTTCTGAATTTTTTTTCTGGAATGCTTTTTACTTATCGGGAACCACCATGCTATGGTCAGGGAGGCACAGTGGGAAGGAAAGAGTAAGATGACAAGAGTAGCACTTTAGTAACATCAGTCTGGAGTCAGTCTGGAGTCTCCTTCCTCCCAAACTCTTCCTCCTCCCATTCCTTTAGCCAGAGCCTACCTCGTCTCCTGAGCCAGAGAATTGTTCTCCATGCAGGACAGCACAAAACTTCTGATATTAAGCCTCCATTTCATAATCTCCGCCAGGAACTTTCCCTGACCCTTCTCTGCATCTGCCTGTGCTTCCCTCCTCATGGAGGCATTTACAAACCACTGTGGCTGATTAGTTTGTCACCCCAACTTTTCTGTGAGCCCCTTGAGGGCACAGATGGTGGTAGATTACTCTATTTTTGTAGCCCCAGGGCCCAGCACAGAGAGGTCATCAGGCAGTGATCATAGGCCTGAGTGTGCCCATTTCCCCATAGTCATGCTAGCACTGACCATTATTATATTTTCCAGGTTTTGCCATTTTATGTCTGTCACACCATACCTGACTGTTACTTTGTTGTGTCTTTTTTTTTTTTTTTTTTTTTTTTTTTTTTTTTTTTTTTTTTTTTTTTTTTTTTTTTTTTTTTTTTTTTTTTTTTTTTTTTTTTTTAAGCTCCTATGTGGGGCCTGTTTCCCTTTGTGTTTCTCTGATGAATTGTCTGTGAGGTCCTTGACCCTGCTTTTTTTATCAGCTGATGGTGTTATTCTTGCCCAATTGCCTTTGGAGCACAGGTTTACTCCTTTGGGGAGATGCCATGGGACCCAGAGCTGATGCAGACCTGCTACCGAGAGGCTAGACGGAGCCAGAGGCACCTGGGGCAGCTGGCAGCACCCTTTGGCTTCCTCGGAGGACGAAGTCTGCTGTTTGGGGCCCAGGATCTCGCACAGCAGGTGAGGGTGAATGGGAGGCTGGGAGGAAGGAGGCAAGAATAGCAGCCTCCACTGAGCAGGTGTCAGCTGTGTGCTGAGGAGATCATGATGACCGAGACAGACCGGGCCCTCCTTCACTGGACTTTCAGTGTCATGCAGACATGAGCCCATGACCAGGCAGTGACCACATGTGGTGGACAGGGCTGTGGTGGGTATGCACAAGGTGCTATGAGATTCCCCATGAGGTGTCTCTGATCCATCTCCAGGACTGGGAGAACTTCTGGAGAGGAATTCCAAGCTGGGGCAGCAGTGGGAGAAATGAGGGGTGGGGCATGTCCTGGGAGGAGGGAACAATGTGTATAAGTGCTGGCAAGTAAGAGAGCTTGTCTGCCTTTGGGGAAAATGAAACAATTTAAAAACATTGGGTTGTTGGTTTCCAGTGAGGGCAGAAAGATGGGAGATATGCCAGTGAGGTGGGTGAGCAGAAGAGTCAGAGCTCTATGTGTTTAAGAAGCCAGGCTCTGTCCCAAGGGCAATGGGGAGCCACAGCAGATGTGTAAGCAGGGGAGGGGCATGACCAAATTCAAGCTTAGGAGCCCTGCCTGCCTTGGGGAGCAGGGGCTGTTGGGGGTAGTAGTAGAGGGGGCCTGAACCAGGACTTGTGCTGTTGGTGGAGAGAAACAGGGTGTATTTTGACAGCCAAGGGGATGGGACCTGCTAATAGACATGTTGAATGTAGGAGATAGGGACCGAGAAGATCCGGTGCTCCCTGGCACAGTTATTCAGTTTGTACACTGCACAGGAGCACGCTGCTGAGGAGGCTGAACTCTGGCCAGCTCTCTGCTCCCCAGGCTGGGTATCCTGGCACCATCTTCCAGAGCGGAGGGCGATTTCTGCCCGTTTGCACATAAGTCTCCACTCACTGGATAACCCCAAAGTCCAGAGAAGAAGGAGTGCTATTTCTTGAGACAAGAATGAAATTGAAGAGCAGTGGCTGGTAGGGACAGGATGGATGCTGAGAAGGGGTTAGTTGGACAAGAAAGAGCCTGATAAGGCCACAGCATGGATTCTCAGGGGTCATCCTAGTTCCTCCTCCTGCAGCTCATGGCGGATGCTGTGGCTACCTTCCTGCAGCTGGCTGACCAGTGTCTGACCATGGCCCTGGACTGTGACCAGGCTGCCCAGCAGCTGGAGAAGGTCAGGGGGCGTGTGCTAAAGGTGAGGTCCATGGGGAGGACATGGGCATGGGCCTGGTGCTCAGATGGCTGCTGGACTTGTCACTGTATGTGTCGTGCAGAAGTTCCAGTCAGACAGTGGCTCGGCGCAGAGGAGGTTCATTCGTGAGTGGCAGCTCCGCATCTTTTTACCCTTTGTGCTGAGCCAACTGGAGCCAAGCTGCAAAGCGGTGAGCGAATATGGGACAGGCAGGCAGGTCCTTTAGGGTGACCAAGTGTCTTTGTCTTCTGTAAAGTGAGCAGAGTGCTCTCTCCTTCATAGAACCACTGTGACAATTAGAGACTTTTGTTCCTTGAGTGCTGGGGCTCCTCTGGGCTCCCACAATTGCCCTCTGCTTCTCCCAAGACAATGCTCAGTGTTTGCCACTTGAGCACTGGGGTGGGGGCCCAAGCATCACATATTAGCAGGTGACACAGTCTTCAGAGAAGGGAGGAGGCAGAGAAGGAGTGGGTCTGTGTGGGGTGCCTGGTGGTCATGAAGGCCCTCCTTGAGAAGATGACACTTGAGAAGCATCGAGCTGAAGGCATGAGCCATGTCCCAGGGAAGGGCATTCCAGGCAGAGAGCACAGCAAATGCAAAGGCCCTGTGGTAGGCCTGTGCCTGGTATTTTGGCGAAACAGTGAGGAGGCCAGTGTAGCTGGAGATCACTGAGTTAAGGGGTGGAAAAGTGATGACGGGGAAGGTCACAGGGGCCTGGCCACACAGGGTTTAGGGGCACCAGTAGGAATTGGCCTTAGGTGCTAACAGGTTCCTCCAGAGGAAGTAGCTGTGGGTGGTCCTAGCAGAGACACCGTGCTATGCCTGTGGTAGTGGAATGTGCTTTGTTTCATCAATCTGCACAGCAACCCAAGGGAAAATGGGTCGAGGAGTCCATTTTAAAGATGAGGAAAGTGAGGCCCAGGGCACCCCACCTCAGGTTCAAGGCTGGAGCTGGGACCCATGATGCAGCCCACCCCTCCAGCCTAGCACCTTACCCACCTCCATTCCAGGAGCTGTCTGAGTTCGAAGGGGATGTCCTTTCTGTGGGCAGCCCAGCCCTGACCATCGAGGGCATCTATGAGGATGTTGTCCGGGGGGTCCTGCTGCAGAGGATTGATGGAGGTGAGCCCTACTCTCTATGGCTGGTGATACCCTGGTGACCCCTGGCTGTGTCCCCTACCAGGGTCCCCATTGCCTTGCTTTCTGTGAACACTAGCTCTTTGAGGGTCTGGACTGGGACAGAGGGCATCTGGGGTGGATGAGCCTAGAGGGGCAGCTCCCTGAAGGAGGAGACATTGGAGCAAGGCTCTGAGGGGTGTATAGGAGTTCTCAGGATGAGCGGAAGGAGGCAAAACTAAAAAATTGCAGATAGACATTCACATTTAGACATTCAACAGTCACTGCCTCAGTTTCTGTTTCTGTAGGTTGACATTTAGGACCTAAGGGTTCTTGGACTTGGAGTAGGTTTCTCAGGATCTCCTGCCCTGGGAAAAGGCTCCAAAACTGTCTTTTCTCCTTCCCACTTTGTTCGCTCATGACTCAATGTCTGCGACTGCTGAGATGTGTGCATTAACTGGGGGCTGAGCAGTATGTGATGGTGATTCAGGGAATGTTACAGTACCCACGTGGCTGGTGCAGAGGGAGGAAAGGGGAACAGAAGGAGAGGAGGCTGGAGGCTGCTGAGGCAGATGTGCAGGGCCTTAAATGACAGATGGAGGAGTTTAGACTTTTTGGACAGGCAATAGGGAGTCATGGAGGGTGTGTGAGCAGAGGGCAATAGTGGCCAGACTGAAAGAGAGGAGGCAGAAGGCATGGTCCTGAGGACAAAGGATGAGCCTGAGCAGGGGCAGCCACCAAGAGGACAGAGCTCAGTCATGAGGACAAGGCAAGAGCAGAGGTGCCAGAGTAGCTGGCCTGGGGTGTCACAGAGTGCACAGGAGGGACCACAACCTGGGGATAGAGTGTAGAGAAAGGAGATGCATCCTAGAGAACATGTATTGAAGGATACAAAGAGAGAAGGGACACAGAGAGCAGTTTGAGAGGTGACAGCAGGGTTCTGAGAGCCCAGAAGCAAGGGTGAGGATGTGTGCTTGGTCTGTGGGTGGCCAAACAAAAGAATTGAGTTCCCTTAGAATAGTGGACACTTTAAATGGAAAAAGGCTGTTCTCTGATTAGGGGGAAAAAAAAAAATCCAGAAACAGGTAACCCCAGTGTTTCTGTTCCTAGAAGTTTTCCATGTCCTTAGGGGGTCTGATCTTCAATTGATTTGTGACATCTGCTTGGAGCACTATATTGGGAGGTGGAGCTGGTAGCATCTGGCTCGGTGAAGACTTTGGGGACTGGCTTGCAATGTCTGCCACAGGCACAGGCATGGAGTGAGGCTTATGTGAGCCACTTGTTTAGGGTTCCTGGTTGAGATGTTTCCTCCATCCTTTGCCCTCTTGTGGCCTCTTTGGGAGAATGCATGGAGGTCCACTGATGCTCAGGCTTCTCCAGGTGGTGGATGCAGGGGTTTATTTGTTGTTTTAGAATTGAAAAAGGCCCTCGGTGTCAGTGATGTGTCCTGCTCTCTGGATGGCTGCTCAGAAGCCCCATGGGACCAGATGTGAGCAGGTGAGGACCTCACAGGTTCTTAGGCCATGCCAATGAATTGCTGGGGCATAGGGGAGCCTACATAGGATGTATGGGATGGTTGAGAGTATAGGTTCCTGGATGGAGCAGAATCAACCTGCCTTCTAATGTGGCTGGGCTGGCCAAGCTCATGGCGAACAAGGGTAGTGGGGAGCCATGGAGTGTGTCGGAGCCACCACAGAGAGACCCTCTAAGCCCAGGCTCTGGCATGCACATGAATTTGTGTCTCATCTCTTCTGGCCCAAACCCAGTGGGGCCTCTCCCAGCATCTACTGGAAGGAGAGATTACGGTGATGGGGACCTTGGGTTCACCATGAGCAAGGGTTCTGCAAGAGGAAGCAGAGATTCTTGAGTGGCTCACAGCTCAACCCCCTTGGGAACTGCTGCTATGAGAACCTTGACAACCCACTCACCTAAATTGCTCCCACATTCTTCACGCACAAAAAGTCTGAGATAATAGACATGTGTCGTTTTTAGCTGCTAACCTTTGGGATCATTTGTTATGCAGCTATAGCTAACTAATATACTCTCCAGCAGATATGGGGCAGAATCCCATAGTCAATTGCTGCAGATAAATTGAAGAATATTCACACTTACTAGGAATATTGTGAGATTTGCAATTGACAATGAGAGATTATGGGCAGGCCCCTTAATCTGTTTAACTGGGATCTGAGCAATGATGGGTGTTTTGCTCCTAGTCTTACCCTCTAACAGGTAATGCCACAGAGGATGACCTTGTATGTGCTTTTCAGGGAAGTGCAGGTCTCTGTGGGTTAATCCCCCAATGTGAAATCTCAGGGTTTAGAGCATGTATGCTTGTCATTCCAGTAGTGATCTTCAGAGACCTCTCCACCAGCCTGGTCTCACTTGGTACCCCTCACCTCTGTGCAGGTGGCCTATTTTCCCACAGGCTGCACAGGTTGTCAGCTGACTGGGAATTTCTCATATCTTCTGGGTGGAAAATGGTGTCTTGGCCTGATTTTAATGAGCACCTTTTCTTGGAAATGAAGATGAGCATATTTTCATGGGTTTAAGAGCTGTTTTTAACTCTGTGAAGCTTTGTTCCTCTCCTTGGCTCACTTATGTTCTGGGTACTTATAAATTTCTATTACGTTTTTATTGCTTATCTCTCATTTATTGGCATTTGTTATGTGCCAGGCATTTGATGTGTTAGATATATTAGCATCCTTATGACACTTTCTATTTTACAGATGAGGAAATTGAGGCTTAGAGAGAGACTTGCTTCAGGCTGCCAGGCTCCTGCATTGAGGTCCTGCCACTCTGCCCACTGCTGTCTCCAGGGACATTACGAAGCTTAATCTTTGCCCACATACATCTTCATTACCAACGGATAAACATCTACCAGTGAACTTTCTGAGCCATACACATCATTTCAAGGCTTTTATAACCCCCTCACCTCCACTTCACTCCTTTCCAGGAACACTGTACCTTTTTTCACTCCCACCAGTAGTATTTGTGCATATTCTTCATATCCTTTCCAAACACTAGGAATTTTCATAAAAGAAAAGTCAATTTGATAGACATACACACATTTCATTATTTTTATTTTGGCCATTTATATGTTTGTGGGTTTTTTGTTTTTTTTGTTTTTTAACTGAATTGCCCATTCATGATTTTACCTACATTTTACTTCAGGAGATTTTATCTTTATCTTATTAATTTCTAATAACTGTTTATATACTAAGGATATTAATACTTTGTTATCCAGGTTAGGTATTTTTTTTTTACTGTTTGCTGCAGGCCTTTTGGGTTTGCTCACTCCAAATCTTAACTTAGTATCAGGTTTCTCAGCTGAGAGAAACTTGACTTCCCTCTGCTTGCCAGAAAAGTCATCTGTGCTTTTAAGGTTGGCAGCTTCTCCACATCACAAGCCTCCCAGCTGCTTCCGGACCAGGTTCCGGAGGGATTTCCCCAACGCTCTTCTTGGTTCAGCCTTCAGAAGGGACCTGCACACTCCACGGAGATGGTTTCCTCCCATTTTTGTCCTGGGAGTTTTCAGCCTCCCGCAAGAGAGGCTGATTTTCCCCCTCCAACTCCATCTTTTGAAATGTATTTGCATTTCATAGCTCACTCTAGCTGGCTTCTTTTGACCCTGGATATAGACATTATTCTGGAAATATTGCGGCAACAAGAATTGTCATTCTGCCTACTTTGAGAAAACCACTGCTTGCCCCAGGGTCTAAATCCTTCTAGTCTTTTCTCAGTGTATCAAGGGACAGGATGTGCTTGTCACCCTGTTTTTCTTCATTAGTATGAAAGATTTTTTCTTGCCAGAGGGTAAATTTGTTTTTCCTTTTTTTTTACGGAAAATATCAAGCACACCCCAAAAGCAGAGACCTCCTGTGCCCCTATTGACATTGACCAAGTTTGGCCCCATTCCTTTTCCTCCACTCAGAATTAGTCATGTAACCAGTAAAGATTGGGCTGCATTTCTGAAATATTCAGCCAAAAACTTAACTTATGCAGATAATTACTGTAGGAAAAAAAATTGGAAAATAGAAGCCAAGGAGACAAAAGTAATTGGAGGAATGGGATGGACAAGAGGAAAAGCATAGAGACAAGGAGTATCAATTACCCCCATACACATGCTGGGAGATTTGGGGCTTTTCTAGTCAAGCTCATTGCCTCATCTTGCTTTGTCCCTTGATGGACGGCCAGGACACATAACCTGTGCCCTGGATTTTACTTAACAATATTAACACCCTGTTATGCACACATTAATAAATATATATCTGAGCATCATTCTTAAAACATCATTTTTAAGAATGATCCCAACATGATCAATTAGAAAATACATTTGAGTATTAGAAAACAATCCTCTGGTAGCATTTCTATGGAAAGGCTCATCCTGCCTCCATAGTGTGTGCTCAGCACATTCAATCATCACCTGGCTCTATGCTCAAGCTAACCATGTGGGCTCACTATGATCCCATAACATAGATGGACATAATGAGACTCACACAGCCAGCCCACGTGGAGGATGTATTGGAAGCCAGGTCTGGGGACACCAGGGCAGAGGAGCTTAATACCCAACATCTCTTAAGGACATCCCAGCAACACTGGGGACCCAGGATGGTAAAACCCACGTTGCAGCCAGAGAAACAGCCTCAGATCTTTCGGGTCCCAAACCAGGTCCTAACTATCCAGGTCCGCCTGGTGGCACAGTCCGGGCTTAAATGGAAATTGGACGGCGCATCAGGTGAGGGTCGCAGCAGGAGCAGTGGCCCAGAGGCAGGGAGGATTCTGAGCTCTGTGCCTTTAAGGCGGGAGCAAGGCTGGGCATCCCAAGCCCGTTTGCAGTCTAACGTCACTCGGGTAGGGCGGTGGCTGCGGAGAGTAAGCAGCGCTCTGTCTTTAAGGCTGCTCGGGGGCGGGGCTTGGGAGGCGGGTCCTTATGGCTGATTCGCGCTGGGCGCTCTCCTCCATAAGGCGCGCGGCAGGGGCGAGGCCCCGACTGCCCCTTTAAGGCGCGGCCCACGTCCGCCGGCAGAAAAGCAACTTAAAGGCGACGCGTGGCGCGATGGCGGCTGCCACACGCGCGTGCCGGCGGCGCGGGCGGCCGCTCCCATCCCTGCCGCCGCTGCTGCTGTTGCTGGCGCTGCCGCCTCCAGGTGGCCCGCCGGGCGCCGCCGCCTACTTCCCGGAGGAGCGCTGGAGCCCAGAGTCACCGCTGCAGGAGCCGCGCGTCCTCATCGCGTTGCTGGCGCGCAACGCGGCCCACGCGCTGCCGGCCACTCTGGGCGCGCTGGAGCGGTTGCGGCACCCGCGGGAGCGCACTGCGCTGTGGTGAGCACAACGCCACTTGCGGTGTCCGGCCTGCTGCCCCGTCGGCAGGTCCACACCGCGCTCTGCCTGCTGTCCTGGTACCGGGCGGGCAGGCCAGACCCACGCGCGTCCTCTGCTTCTTGTACCCCATTGGGCAGGCCAGACCCACAAGTGCTCTGTGCCTGCCTCCCCTCGGGCCAGGATAGGCGGGACCCTTTCTCTGCCTGCCGGCCTTTTTAGGATGGGTCAGGCCACAGTCCTGCCTGCTGGCCCCCCATTAGGGCAGATCCAGGACCACACCCAGTGCAGGCCTTTCTGCTTGGGACAGACCTCCTAACCCCCTTTGGAGCACACACAGGTTCCAAAGAAAGGGAGCCTGAAGCCCCCATCGGGGCATTGCCTTGACCTACATTGCACTTCTACTAACTCAATATCTTTTCACTCTTGCTGCTGCATTGCTCCTTAACCCAGCCTGAATCAGGCCTTCTGGCTGACTGGAGTGGGTGGGTAGGGTAAAGAGTTAACTGGACCCTTTCTGGAAGGGGAATAGGGCAGAGCCATGATGAACAAGTCTGGTGACTTCCTGCCTGCTACCTCAGTGTCCTCATCTGGAAAAAGGGACTGTTAATACAACTCTGGTTGGGTTTGTCTCTGAAGATTAACCAGTTAATGGGTATGAAGCCCTTGTGCCTGGCATCATGGCTTGGCGTGATCAGTGACCAGAGCCATGGTTATTACTGTCATCATTGCTGTCCTTATCAACTTAGTTTACTAAGGGAGAATCACTCTGGGCTACATGGTCAAACTAGACTCCCAAGTGTCTCTCTTCCCTCCATCCCAGATCCCTCAGCTCAGATAATCCAAGTGTACAGTTGGTGCTTAAGATGTATTTGTTGAACAAATGAATAACCACAATCCACTCGGAGGTGGTGTCGCTCATAAGAGAGAATCAAGGAAGGTGGGGCGGGACTGTATGATGTATTTGTATTTTTATTAAATTTAGTACCGAACATTCTTATAAGATCCTAGATGCTCAATAGTACTAACAGTGTTTCACGTGTCTTTCTAAAATTAGCTTGTTTAATACCCTCTGCAGCCTAGTGAAGTATCTTCATCTGGTGTTACAAACTAGGAAATTGAAGTACAGAGGAGAAGTGCCTTGCCCAGGACTATGTAGGTGATGACAGGCAGGCTGAGCTGTGGTGCAGAGCCCAGGTGTTACGCTGCTGCCCTGTCCTGCTTCTGTCTCCCCAACCTCTTCTTCTTCTGCCCCCAGGGTAGCCACAGACCACAACTCAGACAACACGTCGACAGTGCTGCGGGAATGGCTGGTTGCCGTGAAGAATTTGTACCACTCTGTAGAGTGGCGGCCAGCAGAGGAGCCCAGGTGATTGCCAAGTCCTGCCCCAAGCCCTCCCAGTCTGACCCTGCTGGACTCCTGCTCACACACCATCCATGACTCCCCATCGTCCTCGGACAGAACCTTAGCCATTCAGTCCCTGACCCTCCTGGCAGCCTTAAATACCACCTCTAGCAGCTCTGACTACTCTGACCCACCCTCAGCTTCACAATTGGCCCTAATCTCCCTGTCAGACCTTTGCCCCAGCTGTTCTCTTCACCTAGAATTCTCTTAACCCCCTTGCCTTTTGGGTGACACCCACTGCTTTGTTCTCAGTCTCACCATCAGCCCAACACCACCTCACAGTTCAGACCTTGGTTCCTGTCACTCAGGGTTTATTTCTGTACCCACCCACCGCTCAGATAAGATTCTGATTCTGGGAGGAGAGGTTCTAAGTTTCTTCTGCTCCGTGTTCTCCGCCAGTGGCTCCCCACTCTTCTGAGCTTTCTTCCTTCCGTACAGATTGCCTCGTCTTTCTCCCCTCCAGGTCTTGGTACCTGCCATCTCCCTCCACTTATTTCCTTCCTGCTCACTTTTTCTCAGCCTTCAGATCCAGCTTATCCATCTCCTCCTGTAGGAAGCCCTCTCTGACCACCTAACAGCCTGGGCTCTTTCTGGGCTGAGACAGTGCCTGTGCTGCCCACATCACAACTGCCTCTCTGCAGGTCCTACCCAGATGAGGAGGGCCCCAAACACTGGTCTGACTCTCGCTATGAGCACGTCATGAAGTTGCGCCAGGCAGCCCTGAAATCGGCCCGGGACATGTGGGCCGATTACATCCTGGTAAGTTTCTCAGCCTACGGATCATGAGGTGTCTGGGGTGTCTGAAAGGAAGGCAGGGAAGTGGGTGTGGAGACCATTCTTAACCACATTTTACAGAGGGAGAAACTGAGGCTCGAGAGAGGATATGAGTTATCAGAGGTGACCCAGCTGGTTAGTTGGAAGAGCTGGGATTCTTTATGGGGTCTCTGGGTTTCTAACCTTCAGATTGTATCCACGATTGTCCCCTGTGGTTGGACGCTTCAGTTGTCTCCACTTTTACCACCATCACCAGTGATGCCAGATGTCTACACACCCATGATGATACCCTCTGGGTCACTTCAAGAAGCAGGAGATTGGCTCGGGGGCTGGAGGCCCTTGGTGATGCAGAGCTGCTGAGGCCTGATTTTCACTTCCTCCTCTTGGGCTGGCGTTGCTTCTGGGAAGAAGGGGACGGTTGAGTGTTGAACACAATAATGCTGGATAAGTGCCCACTGGTCATGCGCTTTCCTGTCCCTTTGACCTGGGCATGATCCTCTCCTTTGGTGCAGACGAGAAGGCATTGATGACAGGGCCACCAGGGCGGTTGAACACACTGATGCCAGCCTAACAGCACCTGGGACTGGTTTCGTGTACATGCCAGGCCCTGAGCTGAAATCTGTACCTTCTTTATCAACCAATACACATTTTCGAGTCCCTCCGAGTGCCCTCCTGCTGGGTCCTGGGGCCACAGGATCTGCACAGGCTGAGCCCCACCTTCCTAGTGTGTGGACTTGACCAGAAAACAAACCAAATTGAGCGAGGAGACATCGGAAGGCAGCCAGTGCTGTGACAAAGTTGTAGAAAGGCGATTACTGGTTTGTCAGTGTCCTGGGGCTGCTGAAACAAAGTCCCACATGCTGGGGAGCTTAAAACCATGGAAATATGTTGTCTCACAGTCTGGAGGCTGGAAAGTTTGAAATCCAGGTGTCAGCAGTGCTCCCTGCTAAAGCTCTGGGGAAGGATTCTTTTTGCCTCATCCACTTTCTGGTGGCTCTAGCTGTCCTTGGCTTGTGGCAAAGACATCATCCCAATCTCTGCCTCTGTGGTCACATGGATGTCTCTCCTATGTCTCTTCTCTTCCTCTGAGATCACAAGTCTTTGCATTTAGGGCCTACTTGTAATCCAGTATGACCCCACCTTAACTTATATCTTAATTATACCTACAAAGACCATATTTCCAAATAAGGTCACTGTCACAGTACCAGGGGTTAGGACTTCAACATATCTCTTTTGAGGACTACCAACTCACAAAAGATGGCATAATAACCAGGGCAGTGACAAGTGAGCAGGGTCAGGGGGCCTTCGTTAGGAAGGGACCCTAGGAGAGACCTGAAGGAGCCAAGGAGCCAGCCTTGGGGGAAGCTGGGGGACAGTGTCTGAGTCCGAGAGAAGAGAGCAGGCAGCAAGTTTGGGGTGTTCAAGGACCATGAGGGGGCCAGTGTGACTGGAGTGGTGTGATTGAAGGGGTGATGGAAGGGATGATACTTAAGTGGTGGGTGGGAGCCTGTCTATGCAGGCTGAGAAAGAGATTTGAATTTTATTCTGACGGTAATGGGAAGCCAGGAGGGTATGTGAGCAGGGAAGGGCTGTGTTCTGGTTCAATGATTTTCAGAAGCCCCTATGTCTGCCATGGGAGCTGGGCCAATGGGGACAGAAGTGGGGACAGCAGGAGGCTGGGGTGGAGGCCTATATGGGAGAGGGCTGTGGAGAAAGGCAGGTGGTTTCAGGCATGCTGAAGCCTAGGTGACAGGTTCTTGCTTGGGGACTGAGTGTGAGGGTACCGGGACCCTGGCCTAAGCCCTTTGGAAAGGACAAAGCCATACCCTGGGAGGAAGAAGGAAACCTCCCTCTGTGGGCCTTGTAGGTTGATGCCTCATTAGACTGATTAGATATATGGGAAAATGGAGGCTTAGAGTGGGAGGTTTCAACCTGTTAGGTGGGTCTGGGAAACAGTGAGGCACAGAAATGGGACTGGCCCCTCCTGGAACCATCCCACATAGGGCCACCTCATCTGTTTTGCTTTCATGGTTTTAGGTTGGCTGGTTTTCACTTTTTTTTTCCCTTGGTAAACCTGGGTAGAACTCAAGGCGTTGGCTCAAAACTCAAAGCAACTTTTGACACATCATATTAATTTTGAAATTGCGGACTTTGGAAATCCATATTGGAATGTCAAATCGTTTGTCTAACATTTTTAAATTATTATTAAAAGGGCCTCTTGTTTCTTCTTTTTACAAACACTATGCATGTTACAAACTTAGAAAATATACAAGAAAAAATAAGCTTAGGAAAAAAAAACAAACCTGTAATTTTACCCCTCAGAGAGACTCACTTTCTGGCTTTTTTGTATGTTTTTTAATTGAGGTGCAATCCACATAACATAAAATTAACTTTTTTAAAGTGTACAATTCAGTGGTTTTTAGCACATTCACAATATTGTACAACCATCATCTCTACCTAATTCCAGAACATTCCATTACCCCAAAAGGAGACCCTGTCCCCATTAGCAATCCCTCCCCATCCCCTTACCCCAGCCCCTGGCAGCTACTATCTGTTTTCTGTTTCTGTGGATTTGCCTGTTCTAGACATTTTGTATCAATGGAATTTTGTATCAATGGAATTACACAACTCGTGGCCTTTTCTGTCTGGCTTCTTTGACTTAGTGTGATGTTTTCAAGGTTTATCCATGTTGTAGCACGTGTCAGTGCTTCAATCTTCTTTATGGCTGAGTAATATTCCATTGTGTGGATGAAGCACATTGTGTTTATTCATCCGTTGTTAGACATTTGGATTGTTTCCACCTTTTGGTTATTGTGACTAGTGCTGCTATGAACATGCGTGAACCGTGGCTTGAGTCCCTGTTTTCATTTATTTTGGTTATATACCAGGAGTAGAAGTGCTGGGTCACACGATAACGCCATATAATCTTTTGAGGACCTTTCAGACTGTTCTGGCTGTTTTTACTGATATATTCAGAGGTCACAAATTTAAATGTCTTCAAGGGGCTGGGTGGGGAATGTAGCACAACTGCGTGGCTTGTCCCAGGGGTCAGCCACCTACCGTCTCTAGCTGAGGGCTGCCATGTCAGGATGCCATTTCCATAGTTCAGGAGAAGCCTGGAATTCTGATTTTTGCTGTTGTTTATGGCAAGTGATTCAAACACTCTAAAAGTCCTGTGTGGGTAACAGAAAGCATATCTGTGAACCAGATGCATTTTTAGAAAACCCACCTCCAAATAGTTCTGTAATATACCGCGACCTTTGCGTTTTCACATCCAAGTAGACAGATGCATCCTTACCTGATCGTTTTCTGCGGTGTGATTTTCACCTGTGGTGGGACAGGGCTAGAATTTCTCTAGCCGATTTGTTGAAGTCTTCCTTCAAACGCTGCTAGACTCCTAGATCATTCCCATTTTGTGTGACAAACATCACTATAGTGACCATCCTGGTGTGGCCTTTCCGGAAGGTGTTGGTGACACAAGGCTTTGGGGGGACCAGCAGGTACCCGCCCCTCCGCCCCCCCGCCTACCATGGTGATCCTATTCATGGTTTGATGAATTTCCTTCCAGGCTTTTTTCTTTGCTGCAGCAAGCAAGTTACCATCATTTTACCCCAACATTCAAGGTGTTAAAGAAAAAAAGTTTCTATTTTTATGAACTTTTTATTGGTATCTAACTGACAAAGAAAACAGTATGTTCCTCCTGGCCACTCCCCACAGAATGCCGGGTCGCTTCCAGGGTCACATGTGCTGTTCCAGGTTCTCCAGATCCCAAGGACTCTGCCTCTGCCCAACTGTTCTGAACTGTGGCCCAGCCCGGGTCACTCTGGTGGCCCACACTGATGCCATGTTGGGTGTTTTGCAGTTCGTGGACGCAGACAACCTGATTCTGAACCCGGACACACTGACCCTACTCATCTCTGAGAACAAGACGGTGGTGGCGCCCATGTTGGATTCCCGGGCTGCGTACTCCAACTTCTGGTGTGGGATGACTTCTCAGGTCAGGGGGCTGCTGGGGTAGGGTGGGTGCCTGGGGGTGGTGGGGCTGGGCTGAGCAAGTGGGGGCCTAACTTACCATCACATCACCTCATGGTGAGCATTTCACAACACCATCATGATAATCCTTAAACAGCCCCCGAGGGAGAGTCCGTGATTGTGTCTTCTCCCCTGTTCTTCCCAGTTACTGAGGTAGACACAGAAACACAGAGAGAGGAAGTGACTTACCTGAGTTCACACAGCTAGGAAGTGGTTGTGCCAAGATGGGACTTCAGGCACAGCTTGATCCCAGTGTTCAAACAACAGTCCTGTCTTACTCCATCCCTTGGGTGGCTTCATTTTTCAAACTCCTGGGGAATGATCCCAGTAGCATCCAGCCAAAGTCCTCTCTGACTGGACCTTGTCCAGTATTTTCTGTTACCGCTGAACCTATTACTGAAGCCAAGAACGTGTCAGGTTCTCACTGGCCAGGCTTGAGCCACACATCCCACCCCAGGTTGAGGCTGAGGTTGCAGCCAAAGCTAGGGAGAGAAAAGCTAGGGAGAGAAAAGGATGTTTTAAAGGGGTAGGTGCCATGCCAGGGTCAGGGGGCTGGGTGGCTGGAGCCAGGAGGCCGACCCATCCTGTCTCTTGTCTTTTTGTTTTTAACTGACATGCAAATCATAAAACATAAAATTCACCATTTTAAAGTGAAGAATTCACTGGTTTCTATTTTTAAAAATTTATCATAGAAATCTAAATGTTACACGTTAATTCTAATTTGTAAAGGTTACGAGGAAGAGAGAGGCCAACTCCAGATTGTTCCAGAAGCTTTTAAAACTTCCTTCTAAATTGAATTGATGTTCAATTTCTATGTAAATCAAAGGATATCAAATATCCAGTTTCTTTTTCAACTTTTTAATTTCCTCCTTCAAATGCTTCATTTTTGATCTGCAGTGAAGGGCCAAGTGTGCAAGTAGGCAACCATTTCTTTTTTATCTGCCGGTGTCCCATCACCTGGGGTGCTAGGGCTGGAGACTGTTACTGACCATACCTAGAGCCCTGTGCTCAGGGAATGCCCACTGCAGCCAGGAGCTGGCACCCAGGTCTTGCTCTCCAGGTGTTCCATGCCTCACATCGCTCGGGCCTTCAGCCTCACCTTAAAGGACCCCCATGCAGAACTCTGCCCCCTCCCCACAGGGCTACTACAAGCGCACGCCTGCCTACATCCCCATCCGAAAGCGGGACCGCCGAGGCTGCTTCGCGGTTCCCATGGTGCACTCGACCTTCCTGATTGACCTGCGGAAGTCGGCATCCAGGAACTTGGCATTCTACCCTCCACACCCCGACTACACCTGGTCGTTCGATGATATCATCGTTTTTGCCTTCTCCTGCAAGCAGGCAGGTGAGCCCTTAGGGGTTTGCTGTCCCAGGGATGTCATCTGGCTGGTTCTTCGGGATTTGTGCTAAGCAAGTCCAAACAGCAAAAGGAGGTTTACAGAACCAAAACTTCAGGATGCAGGGGTGGCTTCAGGTATAGCTGTATCTGGATATTCAAATGATGTCTCCAGGACCCATTCTTTTTCCAGTCCTGGTTTTGCTAGGTGTCTTCACCCCTAGGTCTTTAGGACCTATTTATGGAAAGTTATTTCTAATTCAGTATTTTCCTATATCCTCCCAATTTTCTGTAGTTGAATATAATTGATCCCTAATTGTATAATTGGGGGAAAAAATGTTTTAAAGGGAAAGGGAATATAGCCATATGCTGACCTGCCATTTACTTTAAACCAGGGGTTGGCAAACTGTGGCAGTCAGGCCAAATCTGGCCCACCATCTGTTTCTGTACGGCTGCAAGCTAAGAATGGTTTTCATATTTTTAACTGTTTGGGAAAAAAATGAAAAGAATAATATTTTGCGACATCTGAAAATTCTCTAAAATTCAAATTTCGGTGCCTGTAAATTACAGAATATTTTATCACTGTGCAGCCACGCCCATTAATTTAAGTGTCCCCTGTGGCTGTTTTCATGTTCCAAGGGCAGAACTTAGTTGTTGAGACAGAAACCATTGGGCCAGCAGCCTGAAATATTTATACCATCTGTCTCAGTACAGAAAAAGCCAGTTAAAATGAAAATAATTTTATTGAATTTTCCACTTTAAAAAAAAGATACACACTCATAAAAATTTTAATTATCCAAGAAAGAACAAATGCAGAGGTAATGTTACTAACGTCTTATCCAGCTGTATTCCATTTTGGGGCAGAAATGTGTATCTTTACTGTTCCCCCGCTGTTTTACGGCTTGCTTTGTCATGGAATCCTGCAGGCAGTGCAAGGTGCATGTTAATAGTTCTGGAGTTTGTCACTATCTCGTCTGCCAGTAGGAAGCCCTGTTCTGGTTCCAAGTTCCAGATGGAGATCTGAGAGGTCTCTGCTGGTTGCTGGGAATAGTGGGACTCACTTATGTTGTGGTCTCGTGCTGGGCTGGAGACTGGTGCTGTGGTTGGAGGCAGCCTCTGCCACCTTGTTGCTTCATTTTCAAGTTTGATTGTTGTTTCCTCGGCCCAGAGGTCCAGATGTATGTCTGCAACAAGGAGGTGTATGGCTTCCTGCCGGTGCCATTGCGAACTCACAGTACCCTCCAGGATGAGGCCGAGAGTTTCATGCACGTGCAGCTGGAAGTCATGGGTGAGTCTGCTCATGATGCCCTTTCTCCGCCATCTCACATCCATCCCGTGAACACTGATTGAGCTCCCACTGAGTGCAAGTCCCTTTGCCGGGCACTGGTGGACAGTTGTCTCTGCTCTCAGGCAGCGCTGGCTTGCAAGCAGCTGTGCATAGCAGTGAGCGTGGGCTTTGTGGAGGAGGTGGCATTAAGATGCAGGTTGAGTAGGAGTTAGCCAGAGTGGATTGTCGCCAAAGGGAGAAGCATATGCAGAGACTAGGAGGTTAGAGCGGGTGTGAGCTCAGGGAACAGGCAACGTCAGCGGGGCAGAAGTAGGACAGGTGAACTGGGCAGGGCTGGAAGGCAGAGGGCTGTGGCAGCAGCCTCAGACACCAAAATTCTCCCCAGGGGCAGTTGGGAGCCATAGAAGGTGTGGGAGCACAGAGGGCATCAGGTTTTCACTGACAAACTTTCATGTGCGTGGTAGTGTCTGGGACACAGCCATTTTGGGCCATTTTCAAATATCACACCTAATATTTATTTAATTTTTATCTTAAGACACTTTTTAAAAATTTCAATACATTATTTTAAAAAGGAAACTACACATTTTTACAATTGCAAGCTCATGTTTTTCTAATAGTTAAACAAATAAAACCGTAATTATTAAATTAGCAGCCCCTGAGACAGGACAAGGGCACAGGGCCGAGCTGCCATGGAGGCTGTTTGAGGAGGGGGCTCCTCGGGGCTCCTCTGGTCTCGGGGGTGTGTGTGGTGGGAGGGTGTCTGCTTTCATAGGGGCCTTGCCCTGCACTGGTCACACACATCCCCGGGAAGGCCTAGGAGGCAGCACAGCCATCCCCATCACTGCACACATGGGGAGGGGCCAGGCCCCTGCAGTTTGTCTCAGTTTCTCCTATTCTGGAAGGTTCTCAGATAGAGGGAGGAGTCTCGCCCTAGTGGCTGAAGATAGAATGGCACCCTGCCCTCTGTTTTGGGGAGATTTTGGTCTTTCGAGGTGACACCTGGAGGATGCAAGTTCACCAGGGTAGAGACCCTAAAACACCTGAGTGTCTGTCACATGCAGATGCTCAGGCCCAGCCCAGGAACCCTACTGGGCTACAGTCAGGAGAGGTAGGTCTCTGCTTGTCATTAACTGCTGTCAGTGACTGAACCCTGAGAAGCATCTCTGTGGCTGCCATAGTTTTTCTAATTTAAAATTTCAAATGTATTTCTGTTGTTTCTGGTAAGGAAATCGTTTATGCTACTGTTAGAAACTCAACAACAGATGTGAATATCTGCTTGTTTCCTGAGGGCCAGAACACACCTGTGTGTGGGTACTTGGACCCAGGCTATGCATGTGATTTTTTTATGTGTTCAAAGAACTTTTTTACGATGAAATTTCAAACTCGCAGAAAAGCTCAGGGTGATGAGATCCTACCTCCCCACGGGCAGGTACAGTCGCCATCCACACCCCCATTTGGGGATGGGCACAGAGGCTCAGAAAGAGAAGGGGCACCTGGAATTTGAGCCCATGTCCTCAGATCCCAGAGTCTTGTCCTTGGTCTCAACTCACACAAGAAGTGTGGGGCAGCTAGTTGCTGAAAAGCTCTGGGTGGGAGGAAGCCCCAGGATGCGGTGGCCTTAGGGGAGGCCCAGGCTATGAGATGGGAGGTGCCTGGTTGGCACTGGGCCTTGCCTAGGCCTCTCCCAGACAGAGGGACCTGTGTCTGTCCCTTGAGCTCACATAGGGCCTTTGTTCTTGGCAGTGCAGACACCACACTTCCTGTCATGGTGGGCTTTTCTGGGCTAGCCTGGTGGGTGGTCAGGGACCTCCCTAGGCTCATGTCCACCTGGGGTCTGATCCTCCTGCAGGAAACTGTCAGGGATATGCCAAGATGGTCCCAGGGATGTGGTCCGAGCATTGTTCACAACAGATAAAAAGGAAACAGTCATGACCACTCTGAAATTCTGGGAAAACCTTGGCTTATAGATGCATCACTCAGTCACATGGCCATCTTCTCCCTGTGTGTCTTTCTTCTGCATGTGTGTCTGTGTCCAAATTTTCCACTTTTATAAGGACCCAAATCACAGTGATTAAGGCCCACACTCATTCTGTCTTAATCACCTCTATAAAGACCCTATTTCCAAACAAGGTCACATTCTGAGGTCCCAGGGGTTCAGATACCAACGTATCTTTTGTTGGGAGGACACCATGCAACCTGTAACGTGTGTGATTTCATGGCAGCTTTTAATGAAACCTCTGAGGGGTCATTAGCCTATTTTATAGATGAGGAATTTGAGGCTCAGATAGGTCAAGGTTACACAGCTTACCATCAATCCTTTGTTCATTCTGTGAATAATTATTGAGTGCCTGCTGTGTGCTGAGCCCTGTTTTGGGTGCTGGGGACCCAGTGTGAGTGGACGGCTCTGGTGATCATCCCATAGGGCTCGGAGGAGACAGGGGGTTAGGATAGCAGGATGGGGAGTTGATGGTGGAAGCCCGGGCACTTTGGAGGCCAGGAGTAGGTACCTGACTCAGTCTGGAGGAGTTGGGAGACTCACCTTTCCTCAAAAAGACATCTTAGCTAAGAACTGGTGGTGGGGGGAGAAGGAAGGATGTTTTTGGTACCAACCCAGCATGTGCAAAGGTCCTGAGGTTGGAATGGGTGAGTTTGGCATGCTAACAGCCAGAGTGAGTAGAGGGTGGGAGAGGAGACAAGTCAGGCAAGGTCTCCAACACCAGGCTGCGGAGCTCAGGGAGACACGGAGCCATGGAGGGGCTGGGAAGGAGGCAGAGGAAAGGCTGGAGTGCCCAGCCACGTTACCCCAGCAACACCTCGGCTTCTCTCTGCCCCGCAGTGAAGCACCCACCAGCAGAGCCCTCCCGGTTTGTCTCCGTGCCCACCAAGACAGCCGACAAGATGGGCTTTGATGAGGTGGGTCAGGCCTTCTGGAGTAGGGGGAGGGGAGCACAGGGTGGGGGGCTGGGGGCCGGAGAGACTGATGGGAGCTCTGTGCCGCAGGTCTTTATGATCAACCTGAAGCGACGGCAGGACCGGCGGGAGCGCATGCTGCAGGCGCTGCAGGCGCAGGAGATCGAGTGCCTACTGGTGGAGGCCGTGGACGGCAAGTGAGTCCAGCTCGGGAGGGCGGGTCCGCACAGGGATGTAGACCGTGCTGGTGGCGGCCATGGTGGACTGGAAGTGAGTTCAACTCTAGGAGAGCAGAGCCATACTCGGATGTAGACTACTCCCTGCAGGCCTGGCCAGGGGTCCAGGAGGGGCACCAGTGGTGGAAGGAGATAGCTGCTCCGCGCGAGGCGGCACTAATGGCAGAATGGCAGGCAGAGTAGGTCTTCCACTGACCCCCTCCTGTCCCCTCTTCCAGGGCCATGAACACCAGCCAGGTGGAGGAACTGGGCATCCAAATGCTGCCCGGCTACCGGGACCCCTACCACGGGCGACCCCTCACCAAAGGCGAGTTGGGCTGCTTCCTCAGCCACTATAACATCTGGAAGGAGGTGGGTCCCATGGGACTGAGCGTCCGGCGGGCCGGTGGGGCAGGGCCCTCCTCGGCTTTCCCATGGCTCAGGGAGGGCACCTCCTGCACCCTAGGCAGCCTCCAAAGCTACAGCAGGACCCAGCGCCTTTCCTTAGTGAATGTCCTTCCATTGTGTGGATGTGAAAACAGACTGGGGATGGGGAGGGGTGAGCCCACTTCCAAAACAGGTGGAGTCCAAGGCCAAGGGACCCCCCCCAAGCGAGGCCTCTTTGTCCCTGGCTGCTTTCAAATATCGAGCCTAGATTCTGGTCTCGACACTTACTAATAGAAATTACAGCCATGGTGACATTAACTAGTATGGACCCCATGCCAGCCTTATCGGTCACAGTGGGAAAGAGGCTATGATAGGCGAGGATGCCAGGTTGGGATTCGAACCTGGGACTGTGAGGCATGAAGCCAGATGGGGCATTGCACTGCAGGGTGGGAGGGTATTTGCCCCCTCCAGGTATTTGAGGTGCTAGGTGCTCACTCAAGATGCGTTCCTTTCCTGAGATTCATTGTGGATGGCATGAGGCAGAAACTGTGTCCAAGTGGCCCTGGAGGCAGGGGACACCCGGGGTCAAGTCCAGCCCTGCCTCTTAGAGAGGTTAGCTCTGTGAACAGGAAGGCGCTTCCAAGTCTAAGCTTCAGTTTCCCCAGATAACAGAGTCACGGCCTCAGGGGGCAGTCATGAAGATTCTCAAGTTCATTCATACAGGGAACATTTGTCAAGCACCTACTGTGCACCCAGCCTGGTGCTGGGGACATGACAGCGACCGGGACAGACCCAGCCGCCTTCAGGGGACTCACAGCTCCAGGAGGTGGGGAGACTGATGATACCACAAAGAAATAAACCAAAGTGAAATAAGTGAGATGAATCTAGTAGAGGGGCCCAGGGCTGTGAATTATCCTCAGTTGGCAGCTTTGGGTGGTGGTCAGGGAGAGCCTCCTGGGTGGGTGCCATTGGAGCTGAAGCTCGAAGGGTGAGAGGGAGTCTGCCCGCCACTGTGTGCAGGAGGGTGCTATGTCAGCACAGGCCCAGGCCCTGGGGTGGGAAGGAGCAGCCGGGCTGAGGAGTCTGTTAGCAAGTGTGCGAGGAAGTGGTGGCCTGGTGGGGAGGTCAGTCCACAGAGTGGTGGGGGAGGGGTACGTTTGCTTCTCTCCTGCCGCCCCAGAGCCTCTAAGCAGAGTCAGGCTGTTTTCCCTCAGGTTGTGGACCGGGGACTGCAGAAATCGCTGGTATTCGAGGATGACCTGCGCTTTGAGATTTTCTTTAAGAGGCGCCTGATGAACCTCATGAGGGATGTGGAGAGGGAGGATCTGGACTGGGACCTCATGTAAGTGTGGAGCCTGGGGGTGAGGCCAGCACTGGGGGTGTGGTCTGGGGCATGGCCAGGGCCCAGGGGTAGAGTATAAAGTAGGGGAGAAGCTGAGACCTGGGGGCAGGGCCAGGGCTCAGAAGTATGGTCTAGAGCACATAGGTCTGAGGGCATCTGTAGGTTAATAGACTGGACCAACTTTTGGGAGTATGGCAGGAGAACTTCAGTGTGTGGCCTGTGTGAGGTGGTCCCTGGGCCTGAGAACAGTCAGAATTTGGGGCATGGCCCCAGGCCAGTGGGGTAGGGCCTTGAGAGGATGACCTGGAAGGCTAGGACTTGGCCTGGAGAAGGGGTAGTTCTTCAGGGCCTGGACACCTGAGGGCTTCAGTGCAGGGGGGATTTGCCTGGGAAGCCCATGGGCGTGGCTGAGGTGCTGGGGGCGTGGCCTGGGGTGTGGTCAGGACTACGTAGCTTAACCAGAAGCTTATATGAGAAGTAGCTAGGGAGTCTGGGTCTTAGACCATCACTAGGTCAGGTGTGTCCAGCTTATTTCTAGAACAGTCCTTTGGGATCTCATAGGTGGATTGGTTCCTCCTTCCCTGCCTCCTTCCTACTCTCTCCCCCTCTAGCGTGCAGGGTTCTGATCCAGGTTCTAGGCCCCAGACTCTGGACCATGCTATTAATAACAGTAACTGCACACTTTAATTCCTGACTGCTCACTGTGTCCTTTCACCTCACCCCACTGCCCCAGAGCCCTCTGATCCCAGAGCAGCTTCCCTCTCAGCCCCTCTTTCCTTGTGCCATAGCCTCAGAGAACGTCCAGAAATTTCATTCTCCCCAGCTTCACATCCTTCCATGGTTTCCTGAAACCCTTGGAAAAACATACATCCTCCTCCTTGCAGGCCCCCCTGTCCTGTGGTCCTGCCAGTCCAGCTACACAAGCCTCCCTGTGCCTCAAACAC